AGGTTTATAAAGCAATGTTTTTCTCATGCTTTCTTTCTTTTTGCATGTTGTCTATCTAACATGCAAAGCAATTTTCATTTTAAGATTAAAAATACTTTTGTGCATTAGAAAATTTTCAAAATTCATATGTGAAATCTTTATAATATCCAGATAGTTAACAAAAATTTCTAAAGAAAAAACTTTATATTTTATCTATTTTCAGTAACAAGTCTCTGTATGGGTTCGGTCGATTTGACCGATCTTGTAACCACATTAACAAAATTATGAAATAAATATAAGTTATGGCTTTTTTGTTCTAGGATGACTAGAAATTATAACATGAAAAGATAAATGTTTATATTAAACAGCTTAAATCTCATAACATTATACATTTATATATATTTATTATTTTTATTATATTGACCTTTCAGCCATGCCTGGCTAATAATACAGAAGCTACAATGATGCAGTGCATGTGCACTTATGTTACCATATCAAATAACATAAAGGTGACCTATGGTCTGTACAAAGTGACCTGTTTTGGCTGTGTTTTACTAGACTAGTATTTTGTAAAATACAGTCACACTTCCATTATTATACATTATATATGTATATAGATTAATGCTATTTAGAAATAAGTTCTTGAACTTATTTTTCTTAAAACATAGAATAGTAAATAAAGAAGTAAAGCAAACAATCATCTCTTCTTGTTACGACCTTTGTACTTGGTTGCTGTTGATGTAGGTTGGTAAGCCTTTTGAAATTTTGCATATGGTGGATATGAAACAATAATTTTTTAAGGTTTTATATATATATATACAGTTGAATAACTAAAAAATCATAAATTACTATGTCAATACTATAGAATTCCACTATAATTTATCAAGCTTGGTAACTAAGCTGTATTTCAGTATCAACAAATATGGAATTTTGAGCAGACTAAAGACACAACCTACCTCCTTGAAATTGTGGTTCAAAAGAAAGAGATGGCATCCAAAGGCGTTAAAGTGGCTGAGAAAGCCACTAGGGGACGTTCTGAGCTTCCGATTGGTTATTCATGTCACGTATAGAAGTAAGTGTATATAAGGGAGCATTTCCAAAAATGGAAAGAGGTGGGCAAGGTGCCACTGTGTTTGATTTATTACGTGAGCAATATCTTAGGAAATTGAAAAGATAAGAGGCTCTTATTTTATATTCTAGCTTGTCAATATTTGTAATTTGAGTTCCTAATTTGTACACAACTATTGACTTAGTATTTTGACATCACAAACATCTAATTTGAACCAGTGCTGCATTCAAGATACCACATGACACACAAAAATTTTTGTTTAGCCGTGTTTTTGTAATATTTACTTTTAAATTAAGAAATGGAGTAAGGTATAATACTAAAATCTGAATTATAATCTACAGTTTGATACCAAAGTTATTGACATAAATTCATGAAATAGTAGTTGAATAAAACTTTTAATGCGAGTCAACAAACACAATGACATGGCCTTTCAACCATGACCTGTCTGTAAATGGTTAAGTATGTTTTTCTGTCAAATAAAGTTTCCATACCTTTGGTGTAAAGAAAAAAAAAATAGGGAGAAACTCTGTATTTCTTAATGGATTGCCTTGAAATTTTGTATGTGAAGTAAGAGTCTAGTAGAACACATCCACTCCAAATATGTAATAGTTTGGATTACCAGAGTCTGAGCTACAGAAGGTGTAAAATTGTTAATCTATCACTCACATTAATAACACACGGTGTGTCTTGCAGGTTGTTTAAATTAATTCTGAATATATAATTGAACTTTTTGGGATATTTGGAACCTGAATTCTCCATCAGCAAGGTCAAATTCACATTAGCTTTCAGGCTATGGGGGAGTAAAACCTATACTTCAATCCAAAATTTGAAGCAAAGTGGGGTGGTGGCTGCACATATCGTTCATTACAAGAACTGGTTCTTCAGCTCCATAAAGCCATTTTCATTACATAATATTTAGGAAAACAATAGATTTGTTTTGTCCATCCAAGCTGTCACATCCACTAAACTAATAAAAAGAATTTTAATAACAAAGATAAAGACAGTTGATAAAACATAAAACATTTTATTTACATGGTTTGAACGTTTCGGAATAACTTATTCCATCTTCAGCAAAATCTGAAAATTTTGTTACATAGATGATTATTACTAAAATTATAATATAATAACATAATCATTAGTTTAGTTAGTTATTAAGAAAAACGGTTAATTGATGGATGAAACAATGTTTATATATATTACACAACAGCTAAGTTAAGTGTGAAAATTTAGAACAATTTTAGATCTAAAGAGCTTTGCGAGTTGTTAAGGGTCGGGCAGTCTTTAGCTATGAGTAGACTTTCTTTAAAGTAGAGGTTAAGATCTGAAGATCCTGTGGTGATGATAGAGAAATCGTTAAATGAAATATTGTGATACGTGATTATTCACAATGTGAGTGAATGGATGAGTGGCTGGGTTTAAGTAGTGGATGGTTGGTTCTGTTAGATACTCCTAAATGTTTTTAAGTGGTGTTTCATTTTGCCAATGTACGTGACGTTACCTTGTAAATAAAATGTGTTATGTTTTATCAACCATCTTCATCTTTATTATTAAACTTTGGTTTCCCCATCATGAATCCATTGCTAATAAAAAGAAACTTTAAAAAAAAGCTCAAAACCAGTCCTTTTCATTCAGATATATAACAAGTCTTACCTTAATTCCCTTAAACTTATTTCTTCCTCCACATCTGAAGGCAACATATTCCAAAGGCTCACTA